GAAGTGCCATGGGATTGTTAATAACCTCAGTTTAACATCTGAAAGACAGCGCTCACTGACCGTATAGTGTCCTCTTCACTATACAGGGGCATTAGGACTCACACAGACCGCAGGTTGAGCGCCCTCTGCTGGCCTCTTTAACACCACTTCCAATAGCAACCTAGTTTTCCTATGTGGTACTGATCAGGCTCAGCCCTGCTCAGCCTCAGCGAGTAACCGGTCTTGGGCTGCAGGGTGATATGGTTATGGTTAAATGCTATTTAAAATAAAGCAATACAGATGGCTCAAAAGGAATGTGAAAATCTGGCCAAAATTTAAAAATGTATGCTCCTCTAAACTTGGCTTGGTTTTGCATTTAAATTCAGCCATGACAGAAATTCTTTAAGCGACTCCTCAACACCAATCATGGAAATTCAGCTTTATACTCGGTGGAAGTCAGGCGAAAGTCATGCAATCTGACATCTTAAAGTAAGTACTCCACTTTTTTTCTCTCTCTCACTCTTTTATTGAGATGGAGAGTGGGCGGCGCAGAGATGATATCATAGCCGTGTGTATGTGGGTTGACACCTGACTTAAAGCGTGGAGGGAGTTTTCAGCCCACGCACAACTAACGAAACCTAATTGGCCGAGACAATGGGAGCGGGGACAGAGATTATGATGCTGACAACAAGATTTAAGACTTAAATACACCAACGGTGGCGTGTGTTGGACTGTTGCCATGACTACGCAGGAGGGATGGTATTACTGCAGGGTATCGTAGGAGGGAGGGATGGAGTCAAATTGAACACGTATCCCCTAGATCCACACTTGTAAACCCTCTGGACTTCTAATGCAATATGATGTATGTTGTATGGACAAAATAAGAAGATGGGGCTGCTCAATATATTGTTTCTACATTGATATCCCAATGTGTGCATTCACAATAGTTACACTGCAGGATTGCTAATGTGACCAATTGATTTATGGCTACACATTGCAGTGACTCCACAATGTTACCAAAATGTTATCCTTTGCATGCGTTTTTAAAGCTCATGTAAGCATTTTAAGCCAGTTTAATGTATTCGGGCGCAATAAATTACAATGCTTGTAACTTTTAAGAAAGATTCATTGAATTTATGTACACTTCCTGAGGAAAGTCTTGTCGTTGATCCCAGTTGTAAGAGCACCAAATAATAACTTGACTTCTAGTTGATGATTTGGTAAAGTGGCAGAAGGTCGATTGTTCAGATGAATCACCTGTTGAACTGCATCCCAATCATCCCAAATACTGCAGAAAACTTACTGGAACCAACATGGACCCAAGATTCTCACAGATATCAGTCAAGTTTGGTGAAGGAAACATCATGGTTTGGGGTTACATTCAGTATGGGGGCGTGCGAGAGATCTGCAGAGTGAACGGCAACATTATCAGCCTGAGGGATCAAGACTTTTGTGCTGCCCGTTACATTACAAACCACAGCAGAGGGCAAATTCTTAAGCAGGATAGCGCTCCTTCTCATACTTCAGCCTCCACATCAAAGCTCCTAAAGCAAAGAAGGTCAAGGTGCTCCAGGATTGGCCAGCCCAGTCACCAGACATGAACATTATTGAGCATTTTTTCACATTTAAACTTTTCCAAACCATGGGATGCCATGAAAATATCATCCCATGCCTAAACCAATATTATTTACTGTCATCATGGCAAAGATAAAATAAATCAGTTTTTAGAAATGTATTATTAAAACTATTATGTTTAGAAATGTGCTCAATAAAAATATGCAGGGGTGTTAATAATTTAACTTCAACTATATATAGTTATTAGGGTATGGGTGGCTTATATCATGCTATGAGATTGTAGTCCCTCATCTCTTTGGATAAACAGGCACTGGGCATGGCAACATTAATATTGTCCGATGGTAAATGTCACACACATGCTCATCATGCGTCTGAAATCTCTGGGTGAAGCCAGACCTCTGTCAGAGCCAGTTTTAGTATATCTAATTCCATTATGGCAGTCTCGCTGATTGCTCTTCCTGTCTGTTTCCAGCGGCTCTGGTCGGCATGTGGCGCATCCTTTATCTCAAATTGTGTTCCTCTCTGCCCGCGCACCATGCACTCAGTTGATTACTTTCTAGTGAAATGCTCTGCTGTCCATGAAATGACACTGTGTTTACCCAGGGCTGATTATACACCTTAATGCAAGGCGTCTTTAAACAGTGGGCGTTGTTGATTGATTTGTTTAATGCCATGGAATAATATTAAACAGAAAGGCGTTATTCATTTACCTGACGGCAATGGAAAGAGGACACTCAACCTCTTCCATCTCTATATCGGCCTTAAAGGAACACTCCACTTTGTTGGGGGAAAGAGGTTCATTTTGCAGCTTCCCCAGAGTTAAACAGTTAATCAAAATAATTCAGCCGATCTCTGGATCTATCTGGAGCACTTTTAGCTTAGCTTAGCTTAGCATAGTCAATTGAATCGGATTAGACCATTAGCATCTCACTCAATACTTTTCAAAAACGCAACTTTTCATTTTTCATCCGTCTTAGTACGCAATGTAACTAAAGAAGAGTCAAGCTATCAAAACTCTTATTTGAATTTTTTGAGCGAGATGCTAATGGTCTAATCCAATTCAGTGATCTATGCTAAGCTAAGCTAAAAGTGCTCCCAACAGATCAGCTGAATGGATTAAAAAATTATCAATTTCAAATGTTTAACTAAAAATTTCCAGAAAAAATGTGAAGCGTTCCTTTAATCTGATTAGTTTAAGCTTGAACATTCAATAAAAAAAGCAGACACTTAACCTCTTCCTTCTCTATATCAGCCTTAGGATTTATAGGAGCACTCCACTCTCTTTGGAAATAGGCTCATTTTGAACTCCCCCAGAATTAAACAGTTGAATTTTTACCATTTTATAAGTTAGTTCAGCCGATCTCTGGATCTAGCCGAAGCACTTTTAGCTTAGCTTAGCATAACTCATTTAATCGGATTGGACCATTAGCGTCTCGCATTTCAAAAATGCAACTTTGAATTTTCTATCAATCCTAGTACAAAATGTAACTAAAGAAGAGTCAGGCTTTAAACAGGAAAGTTATCACATTTTTTTTAAAAAGCAAGATGCTTATGGTCTAATACGATTCAATGAGTTATGCTAAGCCATGGGCGTCGCTAGGCCTATTTTAGGGGGGGTATATATATATATATATTCTTTTTTTTTCTCCTCATGGAGCTGAGCCCCCCTAAAACGAAAATCCTAAAATCACCCCTGTGCTAAGCTAAGCTAAAGTGCTCCCTCCCAAAAATCACCTAAATGGATTCAATGATACATTTCAACTGTTTGTAGTGAAGTATTCCTTCAATCCAGTTAGTGCAGTCCTGAGCATTCAGCATTTAACTCATTCACAAACACATGGCTATTTATGTGTATTTGCTGTGGCCTTGACCGCATTTTGGCACGTGTCAAACGCACACGTTATTCAACAGTAGCTCTATTTTTAGCTCCGAGGGTAAAGGTGCGCGATCCCTTGGCCCCGGCTCGCTTTACAAAAGAGCTCGTAACTGGACTCTCGCTTGTGTTCTTTCTGAACGGGATAATTTTAGCTGGGGATTTGAAACTTTCAGCAGGGTGTCAGGTGTACGGCCCACCATTTCCCCATCCGTTGTTCTTTTCACCCCCTGCTTTCGTTGCTTGTGTTGGGTGAGTGTGTAAAATTATACTCTGAGCCTGGGGTCACTTTCAAAAAGGGATGGCCATATGGCAAGGTGTGTATATGTTAAATACTGAGCTCTTTGGAAGGAAATCAGGCTATTACTTTTTTGCACATTGAGCATTGGTTCAATGCTAGCCCTTTAAATCTTAATCTCGATGACGTCTCACGGAGTTTAACTGGTTTTAAACTAAGGTCATCATGTTCTAACTTAATTTTATAAGTTACACAAGCTGTTTTAAGTCAGTTTAACATAATATAAGTTCAGTGGACTCATGGGGTTAACTTGATTCAGCATAAAAATTGAAGGCAACCAGGATATTTTTTAACAATGTAGTAATTGTTCAAGGGGGAAGTAAAGAGTAAGTAAAGTGGCAGAAATGTTATCTCTTTAATGCACTATGCACGATTCTACTCTGTGTAAATGTGCATTTGAGTTGATCCATCTCTGTTTCTGGCATGGGATGATGGCCAGTTCTGTGGAAGAGTCACAGACAGAGGAAGTGAGCACACGATACTGACTCATGCAAGTCCCTTGCTGACACACACACATGCACACGCACACACACACATACACCACATCACATTTAAAGTCTGCATTTTCTTTCATATTAAGAAGCAGTTCCTAAAGAAACAGAAGATGAAATGAGATAACAGTGGGCGTGGCTTGTTTTTTCTACTCCGAGCTGATTGGATGTAATAAAGTAGGCGTTTCATTCAGAAAGACTGGGGAAAGGGGTTTGGGGAGAGTTATTACAGCCTAACAGACTCCTCCTCCTCATCATTTCTGTTTGTTGTCAAAATTGAGGGGCGTGATTGAGTGTGTTAGCCCCGCCCAATACCATCAGACCGACCTAATTTGAGCATTTAACAGACAAACAAGAAGTGCATTTCCAGATTTTAATTTTTGGGATTTTTTTTTTCTTAATGACATGCACAGATGAACTGTTCAGCGCAAAACTAGCAATGTGAGCTAGCAAAATCAACATTTTGACTTCATGCATTTTACCATATGAGGCACAGGCTCTCTTTGCGTGCAGGGAATTATGGGAACTTCCTGGCCAAGCAGACTGGTTAACAGATTGGTCTGGATCATTTTGATACTGGCACGAGGTAGACGGCCGTCTCCTGTTGTGTGTGTGTGTTTGTAGCGTGTTCCCACTTTAGCTTCAAGATGATTAGTCCTTTTATGCGCAGCAGCGAGGGGCTTATCCCAGATGTCAAAGCTTCAGTTCAGCAAGGTCTCATTATTTTCTCCTCGATGCGTTTACTCTTGCACTGAAGCTATTTTGTGTTGGTTCTGCTCTGCAGGAAAGCCATCTCGCGCTCGGGCCTCCAGCATTTGGGTCCGGCCCAGAATCCCTTCCCTGCCTTGAGCAACGGACCAGCCAAGGAGCTCCGCAACACCGTGGACTGGAGTGTAAGTGTTCTGCATGACCTATCTGCTTTATTACTGGAAAAAAATTATTTAAAATAAGGGATTCAAAAAGATAAACAACAAACTCAGAAGTCCGAAGCAGTCGAAAAAGTAAGTTAAAAAGTAAAATCAAAATGTATTAACGAGCTATGATTTTATAAACAGCACTATTCTGCCTGCATCAGGGTGACAATCTTCAGGTGCGTCTGCTGTTCATTTGAAAACTCAATGGTCACATGATCACATTGAATATCTAAACATTACAGGAAATAATACACAGTATACAACACAATAACACAATACAGAACAGACATTATTAATAAAGAAAGGAAGGGAGGAAGGAAAATAAAGTAAGGAAAAAAGGAATGGAAGGAAAGGAAAGGGAGAACAGGAAGGAAGGAAAAGGAAAGAAGGAAGGGAATGAATGGAAAGAATGAAGGAAGGAAGGAAGGAAGGAAGGAAGGAAAGAAAAGGAAAGGAAAGAAGGAAGGAAAGAAATGAAGAAAAAGAAGGATGGAAATGAAGGAAACACGGAAGGAAGGAAAGTAAGGAAGGGTGTGAAGGAAGGAAAGAAGGAAGGAAGAAAATGAAAGTGGAATGGAGAGGCAGGAAGGGAATGAAGGAAAGAAGGAAATAAATTAAGAAAAAGAAGGATGGAAATGAAGGAAGAAAAGGAAGTAAGAAAGGAAGCAAGGGAAGGATAGAAAGGAAGGAAGAAAGGAAGGAAGGAGGGAAGCGAAGGAAGGGAAAAAAGGAGGGAAGGAAAGGAATGGAGAGAAGGAAGGAAAGGAAGGAAGGAAGGAAGGAAGGAAGGAGGGAAAGGAAAGGAATGGAATGGAGAAAAGGAAGTAAAGAACGAAAGCAAAAGAAGGAGGGAAGGAAGGAAGTAAAGAAAGGAAGGAAGGAATGAAGGAAAGAAGAAAGTAAAGAAGGAAAGAAGGAAAGAGAGACAGACAGACAGACAGACAGACAGACAGAAAGAAAGTAAGAAGATAATAATAATAATAAGTATTATGCAACATATTTCTATATATATGTATATATATACAGTTGAAGTCAGAATTATTAGCCCCCCTTTGAGTTATTTTTTCTTTTTTCAATATTTCCCAAATGATGTTTAACAGAGCAAGGACATTTTCACAGTATATGTGATAATATTTTTTCTTCTGGAGAAAGTCTTAATTGTTTAATTTCGGCTACAATAAAAGCCGTTTTAAATCTTTTAAACACCATTTTAAGGACAAAATTATTCGCCCCTTTAAGCTAATTTTTTTAAACTGTCTACACCTTAACCTGCCTAGTTAACCTAATTCACCTATTATGTTTACAAATGTGTTAAAGAAACCTTCTCTGCCTTAAACACAAATTGGGGAAAAAATAAACAGGGAGGCTAATAATTCAGGGAGGGG